CACGCACACACACACACACACACACACACACACACACACACACACGTGTCAGCACGCGCAAACGCACGCGCAAACGCACCTCTCGACGTTCATCTTCTTGAAGCGCCAGTGCTCGAGGTCGTTGAGGCGAATGCTGCCCTCCTTGCGCACTTTGTCGTAGTCCATCTCCGTATCGGCGTCTGGCAGCGCAACCATCACGTGCTCAAAAAAGACGACCATCTTCTTGTAGTCGTTCTTCTGCCTGGCGTCGGTGCCTGCAACGCGCAGGATGGACCGCAGCGACGGCGCTTCTTGCTGCTGCTCGTCCGCTGGGGCCCCACATGTCTTGCCGAGGAAGCGCTGCTCAAGTAGCTGCCGCTGGCAGCGAGCATGGTCGGCCAGGTCTGGCGTCTGCACCTCCGTCACGGGGACGCTCGGGTGCTCGTCCACAACGGCCGCCGTCTTCATGTGCTCAACAGCCACACACACAATCACAAATGTCTGTGGCACCTCCCACTCCGGGGTGGGTGGCGTGCTCGCGTCGACGGTGGCCGTGGGTGCGCTTGGCTCTTCCTGTTGCTGCGGCTGCGGCTGCGGCTGCGGCTCCAGCTCCTCTTCTTCTTCTTCGTCTTCTTCGCCGTCGTCGTCTTGTTCTTGTTCTTGGTCTTGGGGTTGTGGCTCCGCCTCCTGCTGCGTGGTCGTTGTCGACGCAGCCTCCTCGTCGTCAAAGGTGGGCGGGGGCGATGGCGGCGACGAGGTGGACTCAGGCGACATGCCTGCGTATCCGCTGTCTTGTCGCTGCTGCGCGTTGTCGCTGGCCTGGCCTTGCTTCGTGCCTCCTTGTTCTTCTTCTTCTTGCTGCTGCTGCTCTTGCTGCTCTTGTTGGTGGGGCTGTAGCGGCTCCTCACGGCCGCGGTTCGATGCAAGAAGCGCTGCTGTTGCGCTTCTTGTTGTACTTGTCGTCATCATGGTGCTGCTGCTGCTGCTTATGTTTCTGTGTCGATGTATACTCCAGCGTGGCGGTGACGGGGAGAATGGTGTCGGTCGTCGTTGTTTTGGTTGTTGTGGTTGCTGGTCGTGTTGTCGCACAACGACAAAAGGATGTGGAGCAATGTGCTTGTATTCGTGGTGATGTATGTGCTATGTGCTTGTGCGGTGGTCTCGATGCAAAATGCGCCGTGTGGGTTTGGCTGTGTCTGCGTCGGGGATGATCAAAGAGACTTTGCGGCGAAAACCGTTGGTTGTGGTGATAAGATACGGTCGATGAGTCAGGTGCGATGAATGCGCAGAAGAAGGGAATTGTTCACAGTCGTCGCCTTCCTGCTTGCTTCTTGTGATCAAACCTTCGCACTCTTCCCTTGCGTGCGTGTGCGTGTGGGTGTGTCAAAACTTGTTGGCTATTTGTGGCTTGCCGTGTGTGCTTGTTGCTGCTGGTGCGTGTTGTTGTGTCTTTCTTGATGATATCTGGTGGTGGTGTTGTGGCTCGTGAGGTCGCGCTGGTCGTCGACTCGTTGCTTCTCGCAGCTGTGGCTGATGAGATTGATTGATGAGTTGTCCCCAACGTCGCGTTGTGCGTTCGCCTCTCTTCGCTTCTTGCACACGCGCGCGTGTGTTTGTGTTTGTTTGGTTTTTTTGCCTGGTGGGTGTGGCAACGGCCACCAAAAATTATCTATTGTCGATTCCAGGTTGGGCGCGTAACTCCCATGGCGAATAATCAAGGAAATCAGCAACTAAAATTCTTACACAGTTTTCTGAGGCCTCTTGCATAACTGTTGGAAAACATGGTCAGACATGAAAAAAGAATGATCGCGACACGACAGTTAAAAATGCAGTGATGGAGGACAACGCTGGTGATGGAGATGGTGGTGGAGTTGGTAGAGGGGACAGCAGGGATGAAGCAACGGACATGGTTGGGAGGGGGACGGCGTACACAGCAAGAGCAGCAACAGCTACAGCTACAGGAAGCAGGGTGGGGAGAGGAGGCAGAGCGGGGAGAGGAGGCAGAGCTGGGAGAGGAGGCAGAGCGGGGAGAGGAGGCAGAGCGGGGAGAGGAGGCAGAGCGGGGAGAGGAGTCAGCGAGGTGGTGGCATCTCACGACGACGACGACGACAAAGACGACGACGACGATGCTGATGATGACGACGACGACGACGACGACGATGCTGATGATGATGATGATGATGATGATGATGATGATGATGATGATGATGATGATGATGATGATGATGATGATGATGAGTACGACGAGACAGCGCCGCTGTTATCAATTCAGGTTGATGCATTGGAATCGCCTGGACTGCGTGAGGGCATCGCACCAGCACCAAACAACGATACCGCTATCAACACCGACAACAACAACAGCAGTGATAACGACAGCGAAACCAGTGCACGGCGACGACGGTACTACTTCTTCGCATCTACCGGCAGTCACAATGACAACGGCGACTCTAGCGCAAGGCGGAAGCATCCGGGCTACTACGCATCCATTCCCGCATCCAGGGGATGGGATGACGGTACTGGTCCCAGCTCCAGTCGGCACTCTCGCAACACTGCCAATGAACAACACTCACAACAGCAGCACACACACCAACAACACTCACAACAACAGCACTCACAACAACAGCACCCACAACAGCACGGCACGTACCCTCACACTCATCCTGACACAGTTACTCACACGCACCCCACCTACGACACCTCCCAGCAATACGCACATCAGCACAACCTGTATGACTTCTTCAGCGCCTCCGACAACAGCGATCACAATGATGATGATGATGATGATGACGATGATGATGATGATGATGGCAACGCAAGCAGTGCGTGGCGACGACGTAGTCGTGGACGCTTCGGCCACAATGGCACCAGCCAACAGCCACTACAAGCAGCAACTGCACCACAACACCAGCGATACCAACAGCCACAGCCACAGCCACGTCAGCAGCGGTCACAACAAACACCGCGCAGGAAGAGGCGCTGGTGGTATCCCTCGAGCTCTGATGACGATGTGCTGATCAACAGCAGCTGGGCTGACGATGTTGCTGCCTTTCACAACGGTGATGATGGAGGTGACGCAGGTGATGCTGTTGTTGCTGGCATGGGCGATACTGCCACTACTGCTACGACTGCTGCCACTGCTACGACTGGAACGACTGGTGTTGCTGATGCTGCTGATGATGACGATGATGATCGGCCTCACGGTTACGATGCTTGGGCCAACAGCGGGCGATTCGATCGTGAATATGACGAAGCGAGCAGCGTTGGGCCTGGCGGGCGGCTGGATGACGAGCAAGGCGGTGGGTGGGCAAGCATGTCCACGAGCATCAACATCGAGACGCCGCAGCAGGTGTTCTTTGAGGGCCACGACTTTCGCGTGTTGCGGCTGCGGTGGGAGGAGGCGTCCATCTTCCTCATGGAGGGCGAAAACAACATCAAGTTTGACCTGCACCCGGCAAACAAGCGCGAGCTCGTCGCCTTTCTCCGCGTGCACAGCACCATCCTCAAGCTGCTTGACCTCTTTGCCGCCCTCTTTATCATGGCGCTGGCCATATGCGAGTGGCCCGCTGTCCGGACGCCGTTTGGTGTGCTCCCACCGCGCCAGCAGTCGCTGGTTGAGCTTGGCTGCCTGCTTGTGCTGCTGGTCAAGCCGTTCTTCACCATGCAGTGGCTTGGCGTGCGCCGCATGCTGCTGCGCTCGCGCGGGTGGATTCGCGTGGGCATCATCCTGGCCGCGGGCATCGAGTGTGTTGTCATGCTCATCCAGAACGACTTCCACTTTCGCATTACCCGCATGTTTCGCTCCTTCTTCCTCATCGACAGCCCGTACAACACTGGCATGCGGCGCGTGCTGCGCGAAATCCTGCAGGCGCTCCTGCCCATCTTGGATGTGCTCCTCCTCTACATGTTCTTCATCTTCATCTTTGCTGTTATCGCCTTTTATGCGTTTGCGGGCGTGAGTGATGACTGGTCCTTTGCCACGCTCAAGGACTCGTTTGTCAGCCTGTTTGTGCTGGTCACCACCGCCAACTACCCCGACATCATGATGCCGGCCTACAGCCAGTCCCCTTGGGCGTTTCTCTTCTTCTTCGCCTACCTCGTCATCTGCCTCTACTTCCTTCAGAACCTCCTCCTCGCTGTGGTCTACGATCAGTTTCGCAACCAGGAGCTCATCAAGTTCAAGAAGCTCTTCTACCACAAGCGCCAGGGCATCAGACTCGTGCGTGCCCGCTGGTTGTGTGTGATTGCGCGCGCGTGTGTGTATGAATTGTGATTGTGTGATTGTGTATGGTTGTGATTTTGTGATTGTGTATGGTTGTGATTGTGTGATTGTGTGATTGTGTATGGTTGTGATTGTGTGATTGTGTGTGTGATTGTGTGTGTGTGTTTGGATGACAAGCATTGTCACCTGCTGGTTATCTGTGTGTTTTGATAATGACGACTTTCCAAGCCCACTCCCCTTCCCTCTCTTTATCCAGCTCCCACCAAGCTCATCTCCTTCTTACACACAACACAACACGCACACATACATGCATGTACACACACAACACACACACACACACACACACACACACACACACACACACACACACACACACACACACACACACACACACATCACCCACTGGCAGGCGTACCGGCTGCTGAAGGATGACCGGTGTGGAGGCATCCCATACAGCAGTTTCCGCGGCATGATGCGCTTTCGACGCCCGCGCGCACGCGATATCGACGTTCGCCTCCTCTTCCTCGCACTCAACAAGAGCAACTCCGACGCCCTGAATCTCGAGGTGAGCATGAGTGAGTGAGTGAGTGAGTGAGTAAGTGAGTGAGTGAGTGAGTGAGTGAGTGAGTGAGTGAGTGTGAGTGTGTGAGTGTGTGTGTGTGTGTGAGTGAGTGAGTGAGTGAGTGTCTGTGCATTCTGTGTATAATTGTGCGTATTCTCACGCACATGTGCCTCCGTGACCGCCTGCCATGATTGCGTTTCTTCCCCTGCACTGCCAGGAATTTTACAGCTTCTATGATGCAGAGAATCTAACGTGGGAGAAGACGCCTTCCGAGGTGCACCCGGCAGAGAGGTGAGCACGTTCCGATGGGCGCTGTCGTGCTTTGCCAATCACTAGCTTATGAGTGGCTTTTGCTCTGTGTTTGAGTGGGGGAGGGGAGGCTTCAACAACATTCACATTCACACGCACACACATAAACACACACACACACACACACACACACACACACACACACACACACACACACACACACACACACACACACACACACACACACACACACACAACAGCCACGTGGCGTATGAGCGGCGGCGGTGGAAGCGGTGGTTGAATGCGCTCGAGAGCGGAATCGGACGCGCCGTCCGCCATCCACATTTCGAAACGCTTGTTGACGTCGTCGTCGTCGTGAACACGTGCGCATGGCCAAGATGCCGAGGGTGTCGGGAGGTTGTCGGGAGGGCGTGTGATTGAATGGGGAGGGGGAGGTGTGTTACGCGCATGGTGTTGTGGGCTCTTCTCACGCTCGAACTCACGTGCTGCCACACACTTGCTTGCGTGATTGCACGTCCGCACACACACACACACACATACACACATACACACACACACACACACACACACACACACACACACACACACACACACACACACAGGGTTGTGATTGTGTACAACGCGACAATCACGGATTCCCACCACGCCCACAAGGGCAGCTTTGCCCGCATTGAGGAGGCGGATTTTGCGTTTCTCGCATTCTATTGGGTGGAGATTGCCCTCAAACTCTTCACGCTGGGGCCGCTTGCATACTTTCGCAGCGGCTGGAACCAGTGAGTGCAGCCTGTGCCTACTCCCATGTCATGTTGATGGGTTTTGCTTGCATCGTCTGATGCCGCATTTGCTTGCGCGCACCTGCATGCTTGTGAGAGTGTCTGGTTTCACCATATGGCTTTGTGTGCATGTGCGCGCGCGTTTGCATGTTGGTGCAGGTTTGACTTTATCGTGACGCTGCTGGGAACAGTGGGCGTATTCGTGCGTGTGCAAATTAGCCTCTTTGTTTCGCTTCGACAGCTCCGTGTGCTGCGTCTCTTCAAAGTCAAGCGCCGCTTTCGCCAGGTGTCGTATGAGTGCGTGCGTGCGTGTGTGCTGCAGGCGCGCGTGTGTGTATCTCTGTTGTGTGGGCATGCGTGTGCATGCGTGTCCGCATTTCTGTTGTGTGTGTGCGTGTGTGTGCAGCTGAACTGCCCACGTCTCCCCACCATCGCCATCTTCATCATTACCAACACCTGCGATACGATGGCAGGTCCTGGGTACAATCTTGAGCCTCATCCCGAGTCTGGCAAGCATGGTCATGGTTCTCTTCACTGTGTTCTACTCGTTCTCCGTCCTGGGCATCGACCTCTATGCCGGCAAAATATACAAGGTGCGCCACTGTGTGCATTGCCCTTGCTTCATGGGTGTGTGTGTGTGTGAATGTGTGTGCGTGTGTGTGTGTGCGTGTGTGCGTGTGTGTGTGTGTGTGCGTGTGTGTGTGTGTGTGTGCTCATGCACATGTATGTGTGTCCGTGGAGCTTTGATGTGCGGATTTTGTTGCCGTTTGCACACGTTCATTCCACGCCTTTCCAACCTCTCATCCCTTCTCACCTTGCCCACCTCCACGTCTTGCTTCCCTCTCACCCCCTTCAACCCCATGCCCGTCCTCCCCGCGCGGTCAGGGCTGCTGCGGCCCCATGTTCAGCGGTGAAACGAGTTCGCAACGCTACTACCTCAACAACTTTGACAACATCTTCCGCAGCTTTGTGACGCTGTTTGAGCTGATGGTGGTCAACAACTGGTTCATCATCATGGATGGTGTTGTGCACGTCACCAGCGAGTGGTCGCGCATCTACTTCATGCTCTTCTACATCATCGTCGTGGTGCGTGAAGAACGGGGCCGTATGTGTGTGAGGGAGAGACAGAGAGAGAGAGTGAGTGAGTACACATGTGTGTGTGTGAGTGAGTGTGTGAGTGTGTGTTTGAGTGTGAGAGGGTGTGTGAGTGAGTGTGTGTGAGTGAGTGAGTAAGTGAGTGAGTGAGTGAGTGAGAGCGTGGGTGATGTGAGTGAGTGAGTGAGTGAGTGAGTGAGTGAGTGAGTGAGTGTGTGTGTGTGAGTGTGTGTGCGCGCGTGTGTGCGTGAATGGGCGAAGATGTTCCCTTTGTATCGGATGCATGCTCTCATTTCTCGCACACTTACTGACTGTGTGTCTCTCGCACAATTCCCACACAACAACACACCAGAACATTGTGCTGAATGTGGTGATTGCGTTTGTGTTGGAGACGTTCCGGTCCCGCATGAACTTTGAGCGAACATTTGACGAGGAACTTGGACGTATGTCACAGATATGCATTGCCATTGTCGTTCTTGGATGTGTTGGACTGCCTTGATCCCTGTTGTAATGGCGTGCTCCAGGGACTTTCACACACGTGCATGCACAAACGCGCTCATCATGCACAACGCGCATCTGCGCACATGCACACCAGACACACACACACACACACACACACACACACACACACACACACACACACACACACACACACACACACACACACACACGCATGTAAACATGCACACCACTCCTTCACGCTCGATCAATGTGCTCACTCGTCCACAACCCACCACCATCGTCACATTCCCCCCCCTGCACCACCAGCGGAGAGCCTGGCGGAGGCGGAGGTGGTGATGACGGCTGGCGAAGCGCTGCGGTTCACGCGTGACACACGCGTGGAGAACAGACTCAGGCGCATGGGCGAAACACACGTGCGTTGCCTGCTGGCCGTGCTGCTTAGTGCTGCTTAGTGCTGCTTACTGCTGGTGTCGTTGATCTGTGCTGCGTTGCGCGTATTGTCAACGTTGCTGTACTGTGGCATTGTCACAAGGCAAATCGTGAAGCGTGCCCTTTGGAGCAACCTTCCACATCCCACTTGCCTCCTGCACTCATGCACTCACGCACTCACGCACTCACGCACTCACTGAACCTTCACCACGTGTGCACCGCTCATCTCTCCATCCTCCGCGCCACCCGTTTCACTTCTTGTCGTTCTGCAGTGGGTGCGGTTTGTTGGGCGGCGGCCAAAGACGATGGAAGACTGTCAAGTCAGACTCTTCCAAGCAGAAGTGAAATCCTGGGCAGATCGCGACCAAGTGCTGCGCACAAGGTGTGTGTGTATGTGTATGTGTGTGTATGTGTGTGTATGTGTGTGTATGTGTGTGTATGTGTGTGTATGTGTATGTGTGTGTGTGAATGTGTGAATGTGTGTGCGCGCGCAATTGCGTGTGAACGATAGGATCAACGACATGCTAGGTGAGCCCTGACCTTTCATCCCATCACCACCATCACGCATATCCACCACCACGTATCACGACCACAGCATGATCCCGACTGGCCGGCGCGCGGACGGCGATGTGCGGGTTGGGCGCCCGCGCCGCGTTATGGCACTGCACACCTCCCTCGATGCAGTTGGCAGCACACGCGAGCCCACGAACGTGCTCACTGCCATCATGGGCGATGCCGTGGAGAGGATACCGTGGGCGTTTCCATCGCAGCAGCGGCTGATTCTGGACGCGGTGGGGCGGAGGCACGTGCTGCCTGTGGCGGGTGGTATTGGCGGCGGTGTTGGTGATGATGACGATGATGATGGTGGTGGTGGTGATTTTGATGAGGACTTTGATGATGACGGCAACGCGTATGGTGAAGATGCATTTGGTGTCGGTGTGGGTGGTGGTGTGGGTGGCGTGAGCGTCAACAGCGTCTTTCGTGATGGTGGTGGTCGACTGCGGAGGAGGAGAAGAGCACGACGGCAGCGCGGGGTGCTGTCTCCGTTGTCTGAAGGCAGCGAGACTGCTTTCACCGAAACCACCGACGACGACGACGACGATGATGGCGATGGTGTTGGTGGTGTTGGTGGTGGTGTGCAGCCACGAGGTGGGCGTTGTGCTGTGCCGGTCACAGACGCAACAGGCAACCAACGCCACGGTGCTGGTGCTGGTGATGACGATGACGATGAAGTGGTACAATCATTGCTGGCTCGTGCACAGCGGCTGTCAGGGGGCCAGCGCGCTGCATTCGTCCGCGCCCTCACACACGGGCACCAGGAGCAGCGACAACACACACAATGACAACAACAACAACAGCAACAACAGCAGCAGCAGCAACAACACGAACAACATCAACAAGAACCAGCAGCAGTAGTGCTGGTTGTGGGTTTGCTTGTCACGTGTCGCGTCAGTTTGTAAGCAAACGTGCAATGGCACATGTCCGTGTGCATTGTACGTCCTAGGTCTCGTGGTTGTGTTGGTATAATTTGGCCTAGCTTTGTCAGGATGAAACGAATGAAAACATGTCCTTTATGTAACAGCAAAACGGTCCAGTCAGCGCTGGGCCAAGAAGAGCCAATGAGAGAAGAGAATGAGCAAATACAACACGCAATGAGAGAGAGAGAGAGATGCATAATGAAGCTAAAGCGGCACAACACACGCGTCAACGTTCACACACATGCACAACCAACACATGTTCAAGCATACTTCCACACACGCAAAGATCATCACATCACAGCACGCACGTCACAACACACACGCACACACACATGTCCACACGTCATTGCTGCTTGCTGTGCTGCTGTGAGATGAGGAAAAGCTTGAAGAGCAAGCGAATGCCTGCAAGCACAAAGAAGACAATGAGTGCATATGTAACGCGGTTGTCCAGGCCGGCAATCAGGCGCTCCTGCGCATCTGTTGTGCGAATGGTTGTCTTCAGTCGCTGCGACGCAACGCCACTCCGCGCGTCGTTACGATTCCTCATCGCCTCCACCTTCTCCGCTGTCGTTTGTGCCTTGGCCTGCGTGTCCGTTGCCTGTCCGCCCACGCGGCGGCGAAGTGAGCTTCCGCGGGCCGTTGCACTGCTCGCATCACCCGCACCGCTGTTGCTGTTGTCTGAGCGCCCAAGCTGGAACATGTCCTCGATGTCTGTTGGCTGGCACGCACCGCCGCCTGTGCCCGCGGTGGCGCCGTTGTTCCTCTGGGAGGAGATGACGAGCTGCCCGCACGCCGCGTTGACGTCCTGGCCAAGCTCCTGCCGCACAATCGTGCGCAGGTCATACTCGCGCAGCACCGCGTTGAACTTCTCCAGCGTCTCCGAGGACGGCGCCTTGTAGTCGTGCGGCACGTCTGTTGGGTTGTACGGGATGACATTGAGGATGACCTCCCGCCCCTCCAGGAGACGCCCGAGCTGGTGCGCCACCTCCTCCGACGAGTTGACGTTGTCGATGAGGACGTACTCGATGAGCACGTGCGACTTGCGCGAGGCCACCTGCGAGCGGTGCTCGATGAAGTTGTCCATGGCCGCCATGATACGGTCAATGTGCCACGCCTTGGCCGTGGGCACAATCTGCGCCCGCAGCTCCTGCGTTGGCGCGTGCAGGGAGAGCGCCAGGCCAACCTGCGGGATGTCCTCGGCCATCTTCAGCATCTTGGGCACGACGCCGACCGTGGACACGGCGATGCGCGAGGGCGAGAGGCTGAAGCGCTGCACGTCCGTCATGCCCCTGACGGCCATGACGACGGCGTCGTAGTTGTCCAGGGGCTCGCCCATGCCCATGAAGACGACGTTGCGGATCTTCTCCACGGTGTTTGCGTGGTAGAGCTGCTCCAGGATCTCGCCCGCGGTGAGGTTGCTGAGCAGGCCCATGGTGCCAGTGGCGCAGAAGGTGCAGCCCATCTTGCAGCCGACCTGCGAGGACACGCACACGGTGGCGCGCTCCTTGCTGGCAAACACGGTTTCGCCGTCCTCTGTGCGGCGCTGGCGGTCCGAGGGGAAGTTGCGCAGCTCCACGCGGCCGTAGCGCATGATCACCGTCTCCACCAGCGCGCCGTCCTGCAGGCGGATGAGTAGCTTGGTGGTGGACTCGTCCGCGGACGTCTTGAAGCTCTCCAGCTTGGACGTGGTGATGACAAACTTCTCCTTGACAAGCTTGTACAGCGCCTTGGGCAGCTCCGGGATCTCCTCCACGTCCGTGACGCCCCTGGCGATGATGTGTCGCCACATCTTGTAGGCGTGCTTGTGGTTGATGCCCAGCTTGGTGCATTCCTCCAGAACCAGGCCTTCATCAAGCAGCGGCATCGGGTGCAGCCTCCGCTTCATCGACGGCGCCATCGTGCGTTTTGGTGCGTTGTGTTGTGTTGTGTTGTGTTGTGTTGTGTTGGGAAGAGGTGTTGGGGGGGGTTTGGTGGAGGGGGGGGGGGTTTGGTGGAGGGGGGAGGTTAGGCATGGGAGCACGATGAGAGTGGATGCTTGTGTGCGTGTGTTTGTGTGTGTGGTTTGCACGCTGCACGCCGCTGTTTGTCTCCCTGCTGCTGCTTGTTGCTTCTCAGCTTATGCATTCACCACGTGCACATTCCCAATTTTCTACACAGCGGCATTTCACGGAAGACGTTCGGTAAGTTTCCTCTGCCCACGAGAGCCCAACTGGCAACGACGACGAAAAAAGCACCAACAGCCACACCAACCAACAAACCAACCCACCAACCACACGACCGCACAACACACCTTGCTTGTACTCCCCGCTTGTTGGTCGTTGTTGTTGTCGTTGTCATCGTCGCAGCCATCCATCTATCCCTCTGTCTTGTCTCACGACGAATCACCTTTGCGTTCCTTCCTTCCTTTTGGAATCCCTGATCAACAACCAAAGCAGACAAAACCCACCACCCTTCTGCACCTTCTTCGTAAGCAGCAACCAACCACAACAGCCACACAACAAGCATCATGTCTCAGGCACAGAAGCAGCTTGCGCTCGGCGGAGAGCGTGTCTCTGGCGCTGAAGTTCGCTCCCAGAACGGTGAGTCGTGTGTTGTGTGTGTGTGTTGTGTGTGTTGTGTGTTGTGTGTTGTGTGTGTTGTGTGTGGTGTGTGTTGTGTGGTGTGTGTGTGGGTGTGGGTGCGTCCTTGCTTGTGTTATCGAATGGCGATGCAGGGGCGGTTGCGATGCGTCGTTGTGTCTGGTTCACGTGGGATCGTGCTGCAGTGGGGGAGCACGTGATGCGATTGTTTGCTGATGATCGGTTGTGCTGGGACGCTTGCGCACTGCAGTGATGGCGGCCGTTGCCGTTGCAAACGTCGTCAAGAGCTCCCTTGGCCCCGTTGGCCTTGACAAGATGCTCGTCGACGATGTCGGCGTACGTTGCTTGCTGCTCTTGATCGATCGGTGTGGCAGGGGGAGAGGTTGACCTCGTCGATTGTTCGAGGGATGGGTGGGGAAGGGGAGCGAGGCGGAATGTGGGCGTAAGCGTGTCAGCGTGTGCACACACGTGCAATCGTGGGCGCGAACGCGAAACCGTTTGTACCACACTCGGCGCCAGCAACAGCAACAGCAACAGCACCGATGCCAATACACTTTCCACAGCCACTCACCATTATGATCCTGTGTACTGCTTCTTGCTGCCTTGCCTCCCCACTCGGTTTGATCTGCCATCATTGCGTGGGTCCACAACAGGATGTCACAGTTACAAACGATGGTGCCACCATCCTGCAGCTGCTCGAGGTGGAGCACCCTGCAGGCAAGGTTCTCGTTGAGCTTGCCGATCTCCAGGACCAGGAGGTGGGGTCATTCGTGGCAATCGTGTGTTGTGATGGCTGTCATCTTCTGCATGCGCAGTTACATTCATGCATTCACGTGCCAGAGCGATCTTGACGTGCCATGCGTCCCCGTGGGGATTGGGGGGTCTACACACACGTGCATGTTTCGTTCAACTCACATATTTGTGGTTGTGTGTGTGTGCGTGATTGCTGTTATGATCCCCGTGATCGCAATTTCCAGGTTGGTGATGGCACGACCAGTGTCGTGATTGTTGCGGCAGAGCTTCTCAAGTCTGCAGAGAAGCTTGTGAAGAACAACGTGCACCCCACGTCCATCATCGCTGGTTACCGTCTTGCCTGCAAGGAGGCCGTCAAGTTCATCCAGGTACAGACATGCGTGTTTGTTTGCGTGTGTGTGTGTGTTTGTGTTGCGTGTTTGTGCGTGTGCGTGTGTGTGTGTGTTTGTGTGTGTGTGTGTGTGTATGTGCAAATTCGCTTTCGCATGTGCAGTCTTGTGCCGACAGTCACCCACATGCACGCAAAGATGCACCAGCCCCAAACGATCGCGCCCCGCCTTTCACCGTCTCACGGTTGTTCCCTGCCTCCCCTTTTCCTTGCCCTTCCCCCCACCCCCAACTGCCAGGACACCATGAGCGTGCCCACTGCGGATCTTGGCCGCGAGGCGCTCATCAACGCCGCTAAGACCTCCATGTCCAGCAAGATCATCGGCTCCGGTTCGTTCCATGCGTTGATGCTGTCCTCGTTTGTGCGTTTCGTCTGCTGTCGTGTGCGTGTCCTGTTGTGTTGTGCAACTTGGTGTTGTGTGTGCAGTTTGCAGTGCGCTGGGTGCTCAAGCGTGCTTTCGTGGCCACACGAGGGTTTGGCACCTGGTGATTGCACTGCCGCCTCCTTTCCGATCAACTGCCCCTTGCTCACTGGCTTCTATGGTCCTGTTTACTGTGCGCAGAGTCGGACTTTTTCGCCTCGCTCGTCGTCGACGCCATGAACGCCGTCAAGCGCGTCAACTCAAAGGTGCCTGCGTGTGTGCGTGTGCTCATGTGCGTGTGTGCTCATGTGCGTGTGTGCGTTTGCGGATGCGTGTGTGTGTGTGTGTGTGCTCGTGTACGTGTGTGCTCGTGTGCGTTTGCGGATGCAATAGTGCCCGCCCACACATAACACCTCCGGGGGCGCGGTTCGTCGTCACCCGTCGCGACTGTCTCTAACGTCATACGATCGTCCCGTCCCCACCCATATTCATCCTCGCACGCGACCACGACACAGGGCAAGGCCAAGTACAACGTGAAGAACGTGAACGTGCTCAAGGCCCACGGCGGCCGCGCAAAGGAGAGCCGCCTGATTGACGGGTACGCCCTCAACTGCACCATTGGCTCCCAGGCCATGCCCAAGCACGTGGCCAACGCCAAGATTGCCTGCCTGGACATGAACCTCCACAAGGCCCGCATGAAGCTCGGCGTGAACGTACGTGTTGACACAAGCACAAGCACATGCAATGCGCACATCAACTCCGACGTGCCATACAAAACATGTCAGCATGCGTGTTTGCATTCTTGTCGGTCGAAGCTGTGCCTGTAGATCTTTGTGCTTGTAGATCTTTGTTCTTCCTCTCTTTCCTGTGCGCCTCCACCACCACAACAGCCCCCCAACAACCAACAACTAACAACAACGACGACCACGACCACCATGACCACCATGACTCGCCACAACCACACCTCAATCGCCACAACACCACCACACCACCACCTCACGTCGCCATGCGCAATTGTTGCGCACTGCGCATTTCAGGTTGTTGTGTCGGATCCCGAGAAGCTGGACGCCATCCGGCAGCGCGAGGCCGACATCACAAAAGAGAGGATAGGGAAGATTCTCGCAACAGGCGCAAACGTCATCCTCACCTCCCAGGTGCCCGCGCCGTCCGGCTTTTTGGTTGCTTGCATGGCGTCACGTCCAAATCACCCGATACTGCTGCTGTCGCTTGCAGTTTCCTTGCCGCTTCTATGTGTTTTTCCGTGTCGTGTCTCGTTTGTTTTGTTTCACCAACGGTTTATCTCTCAACCTCAACCCTGTTTCTTTCATGTCCATCCACGTTGCCTCACCCAACGCCTCCCCTGTTCATTTGGTTTTGTGTTTGCGGCTGTTCACCTGTGCAGGGCATTGACGACCTGTGCCTCAAGTACTTTGTTGAGGCCGGCGTGATGGCTGTTCGCCGTGTGGCCAAGGACGACCTGAAGCGCATTGCCCGCATGACGGGCGCCACCATTGTCATGTCCATGGCAAACCTCGAGGGCGACGAGACGTACGACGCCTCCAACCTGGGCCAGGCCGAGGCCGTCACCCAGGAGCGCGTCTCCGATGACGAGCTCATCATTGTGCACAAGCCAAAGGCCAAGTCCTCCTCCTCCATCATCCTCCGCGGCGCCAACACCTTCATGCTCGACGAGGTATGTGTGCGTGTGCGTGTGCGTATGTGTGCGTGCGTGCGTGCTTCTGTGCATGCGTTTCTTCTAGCCATTGTGCGTTGTTGCCATGTGTCGCTATTCCATGCATCATCTGTGCGCCCCCTTCTCCCAGCCTCTCTTGACCCCCACGCGTATGTCTCTTCCTTCCCCCCGGTCTCCCGTCCCTCGCTTGCTAGATGGAGCGTGCGGTGCACGATGCACTGTGCGTTGTGAAGCGCGTGCTCGAGTCGAAGACGCTGGTCCCCGGCGGCGGCGCCGTCGAGACTGCCCTCTCCGTCTACCTCGAGAACTTTGCCACCTCCCTTGTACGTCCACCAAGCCGCGCAGTGATTGTTCTCCCTCCTCCTTGCTTGGCGTTGTGGATGGAGTGTTGTTGTGCCGTCGTTCTGACGCGCGTTCATCTTCCATGCTCGCATCCTTCCCACCATTACGCCTTCTCACCACAAACACACACACACACCTGACACACGCACCTGACACACACACACACACACACACACACACCTGACACACACCTGACACACACACACACCTGACACACACACACACACACACACACCTGACACACACCTGACACACACACGCACACACACACACACATACTCTGTACCCCTCTCGATTGTAGAGCTCGCGGGAGCAGCTTGCCATTGCTGAGTTTGCGCACGCGATGCTTGTGATTCCCAAGACGCTTGCTGTCAACGCGGCCTGCGACGCAACAGAGCTTGTCGCCCGCATGCGCGCCTTCCACAACGCATCCCAGATTGACCAGAGCAAGGAGGCCCACAAGTGGTGCGGGTTTTGGAGTGCCTGCTATCCTTTGTCTGGTGTTTTGTTTGTTCGTGCTGTCGGTGTCAGTAGTAAGGTGGTGGTGGCCGTTTCGCTGTCTGGATGTAAGTGTCCAAGTGCAACGCGAAGCCCACGATCGATGAGGCACAACAAACGCTCACGCACATGCTTGCTTTCTCTCTCGCACACACACACACACACACACTCTCTCTCTCGTTTGTGCACCGCCAGGATTGGGCTTGACCTGACTGGCAACGGGGTGCGCGACAACCTCAAGGCCGGCGTTGTTGAGCCTGCGATGAGCAAGGTGAAGAGCCTCAAGTTTGCAACAGAGGCTGCCATCTCCATCCTCCGCATCGACGACTACATCAAGATGACGGTATGATCATCCACCGGCATGGGGCCTTCATGTGGTGCAGCTGCATATCCAACAAAAAAAGAAATATCCAACACACACACACACACACACAGAGACACACACACACACACACACACACACACACACAGAGAGACACAAACACACAGAGACACAGACACAGACACACACACACACACACATACACGCGCACGCGCACGCACACCCTGTTCACTCCTCACGTTGCTCCTTCTTTCTGTCTCACCCCCTTCTCCTTGTCTGGCCCATGTCAACACGTGTGCAGCCCAAGCAGGAGGGCGAGGGCGGTAGCTACCACGACGCCGTTGCCAGCGGTGCCATCCAGGGCTAGGTCACATCACTCCTCTCCCCCCCCCCCCCAAATCTCCAACCTACTTGTTGCCTACGATTTTGCTTCCACTATCAATGTGCTGTGTGGTGTTGTAGTCGTGCCTGTCTTGTCATCCCTGTCCAGTTTGTGTTTCTCAGTATGCTTGGCTTTGTTGCTGTCGTCGTCGTTGGTGTTGGTGTTGTTGGTGCGTACTAGTGTGTTGTATGGGCTTGAGACGACCACCTGAGCGGTTTATTTGATCGTGGCTGGTGGCGATGATGATTGATGGTGTAGCGATGACAACATGAAACAAACCAGACCAGAGACGTGACATTGAACAGCGGCGCAACCGAATACGCAACAAGCAAGGAGAGACGTGAAAGTAAAGCACGCTGGCACAACACCAAAGCAGCCAATGCAAGCAAATGGTGGACGTGGCCATGACAGAAAGCAGGGGAGGGGGGGGGGGTTGGTTGGTGTAACATCAACACAACGACGGGGGTTGGTCGCTAGTTGTTGGCGAGCTTTGCAAACTCCCCGGCCTGGCGGTGGATCTCCTGCCGAAGCCTGAAGAGTTGTTTGGTGTGTGTGTGTGTGTGTGTGTGTGTGTGTGTGTGTGTGTGTGTGTGTGTGTGTGTGTGTGTGTGTGTGTGTGTGTGTGTGTGTAGTAGTAGAGGGACGAGAGTGAA